AAATAATAAACCATTCCAAGCTTTTACTTGTTCTTAACTAAATGTTTAAACAACTCTATTCAATTATGTACTAGCTGCCCAGTGTCGGCTAACAATACGAAGAATTAAATTGTGGCGAAATGCTACAAGTTCTTCAAATACCCATAGAATGATAGGTTTATTTTTTGTTTTTGTTTGTTTTGGAATTAAGCACAAAGCTACACAATGAGCTATCTGTGCTCTGCCCACTACGGGTATCGAAACTTGGTTTCTGGTGTTGTAAGTCCGCAGACATGCTGCTGTGTCACTGGGGGCTCCTGGAACAATAATACTGGGCAAGAAAAAAAATTATCTGTTACTAGAAAAAAATGCAATTGTATCCGAGTAATTTGATGTTTCTGATCCTAAAAATCATGTTGAAAATTATTGATCACTTCTAGTTTCGAGTCATTATTGATTTATTCAAAATATTCTTATATAACGTGAAAATAACCTTTTATTTAATGACTTTATTTATTCATTGAAACTGCATTTAAGAATGTTCAAAAACAGTACATAATAGCAATACCAGTTTAAAAAATCAATGAGTATAATATGATTATATACTGAAAATACATTCAGGCTGTGGTCAAACTTTAATCTTGATATTATTTTTTCTTACAAAATATCTGCTTGACTTGTTGTGCCTTTTGTGTATGTTTGCAGTTTCACACTGTAAGAACCAACAGTAATATGTCATGATCATCCTTGATATCGCTGTTCCATTGTAGAAATATCTTGGTGGAAGTGCTCATAATGCTCATCACTCACTGCATCTAAATAATTTGGAAAGAAGTATAAATGGGAGTGTAAGAAGTACATCTTTAGTGACTCCTAGAACACATATTCCTGTAGTTCTCGAGCATATCATCAGTGATCACAGCATAGTTTTCATCTCTGTGATTTCCTAAGAAATTTTTGACAATCAGTTTGAATTATTTCAAGTAGCAAGTTCTTTCTGGTTGAGTACTGTTTCAGAATCAGCATTCATCAGCACTTCCCGAATCTGTGGCCCAACAAAGATACCTCCTTTTATTTTTGCTTCAATGATTTTTGGAAACTTGTCAGATGTTACCATTATTGTTCATTCCTTTTACAAAATTCTTTATGAGTACCAGTTTAATATGAAGTGGGGGCAGAAACACATTTTGAGGGTCCACTAAAATTTGATACTCGATATTCAGTTTCTTTGGTATGTAATTCTCTCTCACTGGCCAGCCCTTCTTTTTGAAATGATTTTTATCATCTTGGCTGTCCTATAGATACAGAATGCAGCAGTGTTTGCTATACCCATTCTGCAGGCCTAGAAGGAGTGCAATAACTTTAAGATCACCACGTATGTTCCACCTATGGTGGTCATATTTGATGGTCTCAACTATAATCTGAATAATTTGATAAGATTCTTTCATATTCACAGCATGAGCAACAGGAATCGATGGCTTAATGTTCCCATTGTGCAAAAATACATCTTACACACAAACTTTAGATGAACAATAAAAAGTCTTCGTTCTTGAAGATTATCTAATTCTTCCATTAGTACATCAACATTTGTACAGAAACACAAAGCATCTTGCATACTGTAGTGAGAAGTAAGAAGTAAGACTTTGATGGCGACTTCGGTAAATTGAAACTCTTCTTCCTGGAGCTAATAAATTACATTGCTGTAAACGAGAGCCAAGAAGCTCCCTATGCTGTTTGGTAGAGACAAGTCACGAATAAGATCATTTAGCTCTTCTTTTATAATCAAATGAGGCAGTTTATGTTGAGGTGCCGCAGGAATAGAATTACTAGATGAAGATTTGTTCGTTTTT